AGAATGTGAGGGGGCATTATGAAGGAGTCCTGGTGGTGCAGGGAGTTAATTATTGAGCCAGTGGCCAAAAGATCTGCATACAGACCGGCCAGCTGCTCCACAGGAGATAGATGAGGCAGGCTGCTTTCCTAACGACTTTCAGCTTCCGGGGAAGGAGACTGTGAGTCGGAACCTCCGCAGTGCCAGTGGGTCGGGTTGGTAAAGGGTCGTCATGAGTCAGAATTGACTAGATGGTAACTGGCTGGACTTTGGGGTTTTTTAAAAGGAGTTTGGAGATCTGGAAGTTGTAGACCCTGAGGAGCCACGGCAGGCGTGTGAGCCAGAGGTTATTGTTCCAGGCAGGGGGCTTGTGTGGCACCATCTGGCCTCTGCTGGCCATTCGTCAGCTTGGCACGAGCCAGGGCAGCTCGGAAAGGCGGACCCAGGGATCCCCCTGGACCGCCTCTGTGCCCAGGCAGCACCAGGCCCCCCTGTGGTCAGGTGTCTCCTCTGTTCAATGCAGAGGTGAAGCCCTCATGCAACAGTGACAGTGACAGCTCTTCTCTGCTCATGGTGCTGTGGCATTTGTGAGGTGCCCACCACTATTTTTGTGGTTGTCTTGTCTGCAGCCCGTGTGCTTAGCTGTCTCAGACCCCAGGAAACCCATCCAGAGGGCGTGAGCGGGCAGCAGGTGGCCATGTGGGCTCATGCGCAGCCTCTCATGTCCCTCCCCATCATCTTGGGCGCGGACTGGGCTGGCCTGGGGTAGGGCAGTGGGAGGGATCCCCCACAGTCCAGCTCAGGGAACTTGAGGAACTGGAGATGATGTCCCGCCCGCCTGCTTGCTGCCTGCCTGCTGCAGGGCCTGAAGCCACCGCTGGGAGAGGAAGTGCAGTCGTTACCAATCAGGTTATTTTCATAACGGCTGTCTCAGGCTGAGGGAGGCGGGGGAGTGGGCAGAGGCACAGACGCTCTGCGAGCTACTCTCCAAACTAGGACTTGCTCAGAGGCCAGCAGCCCGAGAGCAGGACAGCCAGGCCGACTGCCCAGGGGACCTCGGCCCCACCTGCTTGCCCACTCCTGCTGCACCCAGCCTTCCAGACCAGGTCAAAAGGGGCTCCCCCACCTCCCTTTCCCTCTGTGTGTCTGCTGGGGTGGGCCTGAGGAGGGCTTGGTCAAGCTGGGCCCAGGAACCACAGTCCTTCAGTTAGGGTCTCACAGTGCCAGGCTTCTGAAGCTGATGGAAAAGGGAAGGGGCAGGGAGAACCAGGAGCAAACATTAAGTGTCCTGGCCACCACCTTTACCGCCCCCCACACTTGTCCTGCAGCCATGGCCTAGCAGGCCCACTGCTTATTTCCGTCTGTTCTGCTCCGGTGGGGGTTTTTATTTGTGAGTGAAGGTCTTGGGGGAATGGGGACCCTGCCTCACCAGCCCCCAGGCTGGCCTGGGCAGAACAGGCCTCTTGTCCAGCTGTCCCAGCCTCCTTCCTCCCACAGGACCCAAGGCTGTGGGAGCAGAGAAACCAGAGGTGGCTTCTGGCCAGCAGCCCCCTGGGGAAGCAGCTCCAGGCTCTTGTTCTGAGCAGTCAGAAGAGGCTATGTACACCATTCCCAGCCTTATCCAGCTTGGGTGGGCACTTGGCAGAATCCCCAGGGTGTCCTGTGGCAGTCCCTCTGGAAGAGTCAGCAGCTGAGGGCTAGTATGGAGGCCGTGGGCATTCCTCAGCACAAGCAGACACTCAGGTGGCACTGTCAGGCTCTGTTCCTCATGTGGTGACCACTGGGCACTCCTTCCCCTTCTCGGGTTCCCACCCCCACCATCAGCAGAGATAAACCCTAGGAGATGGCACGAGCCACGTGCAGTGGTGCCTGTGGCTGGAGACAGGCCCTGCCCTGCCTCTCCTCTGCCAGCTACCTTAAACTTACCATCTCATCAGAGCCACCCTCATACCAGCCCTCTGAACTATGTGGCATGACCCCATTCTACAGATGAGAAAACTGAGGCTCAGAAAGGCTTACTGATCAGTAATGGTGCTTACACCATGGTAAATGCAGGTGCAGGATTCCAAAGACCTTAGGCTTTCCCTCTGGAAACTAGAATGGGATGTGAAGGACACTGAGAGGGAGACAGGAGTCCCCTCGTCTCTGACTAGCAGCTCACACCCATTCAGCTACCCGCAGTCACACTTGGTTGCTCTTCATCTGGTGTTCGTGGCCAGACCCCACTGTCCCTTGTTCTCCCACGGGCCCTGCCCTCACCAGGCCCCCAGCAAACAGCTGGATGTTGATGGAGGGGTCCTCTCAGCCCCAGTCCACTCAGGCTGCCCTCAGCTCCCCACCAGCAGGGCAAGGGGCACACATTTTGCCAGTGTCAGAGCCCTGTAGGGCCCCTCATTTGACCTTTATGTGTAATATGTTAGAGGTGAGCAAGCGAGAGGTAGAGGGAAGCTGTGTGGGGAGCTGGGCTCTGGGGACAGGCTGCAGAGGGGAGTCAGGCCCAAGACAGGCTGGCGGTGTGACTGGGAGAAACTTCAGCAGATAGGAAGTCAGGAGTCAGGCAGACCAGAGGGACGGAGGTTTCTGTAGAGACCAGTGGAACAGGAAGCGTGGGGCCTGAGAAATGGGGCATCTGGGAACACAGAGGGCTTGGAGAAGGACTGGTCACCCGCTCTCATATCATCCAGCCCTCAGACAAACAAGGAAACCGAGGCCCATGGTGGACAGCTTTGTACATGGCCACAAGGCCCAGGCTGGACGTGCCTCACTGTCCACTGAGTGATGTGGGCTCAGGCTTCCTGGTGGTGTGTTCAGGGTGGCCTCCTGTGACAGCACCTGTGAGTAATCGCTTACCAGTGTAGATCTGGGGTGGCTGACAGGCCCAGCCTGCCCCCCTCCCCCCACCCACAGAGCACCGGCAGCACCTCCCCCACACTGTCTGTGGCCTTTTGTTTTCTGGGTGACACTAGCATCAGGCGGTGTGTCCGGGTGACTAATCTCCTCCAGGCTGGGCAGCTGTCATAGGACAGCCTGACCAGCAGGCGGGGAAAGCTGACACCCTGGGGGAGCACTGGTCAGCCAAGTGCCCTGGCGACAGTGGTCAGGCGGGCCTTCCAGCTCCTTCCCCTGGGCCCCGAGCAGACCCCCAGGCAGGCCTGAACCTTGCCCAAGGAGCAATACCAAGTCAGGCCAACCTGGGTCAGGCCCCAGCTCTGCCACTGACAGGCTTTGTGGAACCTCTTCCAGCGTCATTTCCTCTCAATAATGGAGCTCGGGGCCTCCCCCTTCCTACAGGCATAGTAGGAGCCCTGAGCCTTTCACACTGTAAGTGGTCAGCAGGTGTACAGGTTGTCTTGTGATCTCTTCCTTAGCCTGTTCCTCCTGGGCCAAGAGGAAAGAAAGACCTGTGCTCTGCCCCATCGCTGGGGAGCGAAGGACAGACTTTGTTCTCAGGCAGACTTGTATTCTGCATTGAACTCTGGGTAGCTTGCCTCTCTGTGCCTCAGTTTCCTTATCAGTAACAGGTAATGCAATCCCTGCTCCTCTCTTAGCATCATACCACATTCTGTAGGGTATGATAGTAGGGGATTTAAGAGTGTTCCCTCTGACTGCGGCTCCACCACCCTCGAGCTCTGCCCTGGCCTCTCCCTGTCATCTGCCCATGCCGGGGACTGTAACAGGCAGGGACACGAGCCAGCCCATCTCCATCAGTGCTCACAGTAGCCAGGCCCCCTGCCCTGATCACCCCTCCCTCACTTCCCCTGCACTCCAGGGCTCGGGCCCAAAGCCCCCTGACCAGACCCTCAGGTTCAGTAACAAGTCAAGACTGTGTGGGCAGAGGGGTGGGCACGAAGCTGCCGGCCAGGCCTGACTCCACGCCCCTTCCCATTGCTTCACAGTCCCTAGCCACTCGGCAGCACGGCCTCGGCGTGCCCCTAGAGTGCCTGAGGCTGTAATCTTTGCAGAGGCTGACTGCCTCATCTTTCTCCTGGTGGGTGACTAACAAATTTCATCCGCTTACCCTTTTGCTTAGTGGCCAAATGTTTTAACCACTGTGCCACTAGGCTGAGTCCATGTACATGCCAAACCCCCTGCTGTTGAATCGGTTCCACTCATGGTGACCTTCCAGCTTGTATCCAAGGCTGGAAATCGTTACTAGCTCATCTTTTTCCTGTGGAGTGGCTGGTGGAGTCAAACTACTGACTTTGCACTTAACAGCCTGCTGCTTTACACACTAGACCACCAGGGCTCCTTCTAACATGCATTGCTGTTGTTAGGTGTCACTGAGCCCCATATTGTGCCTCTGACTTAGAAGGGGAGATGCTTGTGCAGAAGAGTCCTCCATCCGGCCCTCTGAGTCTCGGACGCTCCTGCACACCACAGGGCTCTTCTCTGGCTGGCCCCTTCCCCCAGCCACACCTCAGCCGTTTCCTCAGAGCCCTGTGGTCCCTAAGTCAGATGCCAGACCCTGTCCACTTCAAAGTGCTGAGCGAATCTAGGGTCTTCTCAGGCCCAAGTTTCTTTTCACAGAACCTCACTTTATTTTTGGGGCTTGGTTTAAGTTGTGTGTGGATGGGGCTAATCTGCCCCTTATTTGTGGCAAAACAAAGGTATGACCAGAGAAGACTTGCCCTAGGTCACCAAGCATCTGAGGCAACTCAGGAACTCATCCCAACTCCCAGCCTCCTTTTTCTTTTCCATCAGCTTCTGACATGGGCATTGAGGTCTTTTAGGCTTTGTGGGCATTGGTGCCTGGTTTAGGGGCACTGGGGTAGGAAGCCCAAAGGCCCTCTCTTACTCAACACTCTTGGCACTGTAGGTATAGCCTGGGCTGAGTCTAAATGCTCCCAACAGCTGTGAGTGTGGACTCCCCTAGGAATGTCCCGGGTCCCTTGAGCCTCCCTGTGTCTGGAGGTGGGAGGCCGTAGTTTCCCCCCTACTGCTCACAGAGAACCAGCTGTGTGTAAGAGGGACCAAGGCCTGGCCACGCTCCTGATGCGTCGTCTCTGTGCCCAACAGCCTCCATGGAGACCTTCTTTAGGAGACACTTCCAGCGGAAGGCTCCAGGCCCTGGAGAGGGGCAGCGGCGGCCGAGTCGTGTGGGCTTACCCACGAGCAAGGCCCAGCGCCGCTCCCCTGTTGGCCAGGCATCCTCCACGCTGGCCCAGCGGCGTCGCTCCAGCGCCCAGCTGCAAGGCTGCTTCCTGAGCTGTGGGGTGGGGGCCCTGGGCACTGGCCGACGCCGCTCCAGCACTGCGCCCCCTGCCTGCAACCCTCGCTTCACTGTGGACAGAGTGGCCACCTCTCAACCTGCCACGTTTGGGGCCCTGCTGCTGGCTGGGCTTGTGGGCATGGAAGAGGAGGAGACAGAGGAGGGGGAGAGTAGGGCCCAGGAGGAGGATGTGCAAACTGAGACATCGATTGCTACCAAGTCAGGGGACAAGAGACCAGAGTCGCCTCCACTCTTGAGTGCCAAGCCTCTGGTGCCCCGTTACCTACGCAGGTGCCAGGCCTCACGCCTACTCCCAGCTGATATGGTCTATGACCCCACTTTCTGGGGCCTGCAGGGCTGCTATCGGCGCCTCAGCCAGCATCGGCCCACAGGCCAACACCCAGGCCCAGGAGGCCGAAGATCTTCTGGGACCACGGCCTGCCTGGCTTTCCCCAGCCGTGTGTGCCCACTGTCCCGCCGGCGCCAGGTGGCCCTGCGGCGCAAGCCTGCCAGACCTCAGGCCTGGAGCACCCTGTTTGCGTAGGTATAGCGGTCACCAGAAAGGCAAGTGCAGCAGCCCCCAAAGGCCAGGCAGGACCAGGCCCTGAGGCTCTGCTGGCCTGCAGGTGCCAACTAGGACCAACCCCAGGCAGAGTCCCGGGCCAGCACATCTCAAAGGGCCATAGAAGCCTATCAGAGTCTTGGCCTCTGTGGGGTCCTCTGCCTTCCCTCCTCCTCTCCCTTCCTCAGCCTTGAGCAAACGAACCCCAGGTGGTGAGGAAAGAAGAAGGCCTCTAGGCCCTGCAGGCTGGCCTCAGCTATCCCCTCCCCTGTAGGAAAGCCATCACCAAATCGGGCCTCCCACACCTGGCACCCCCTCCACCTGCACCTGGGGCTCTGTGTGGCGAGTCAGAGCGGCAGATCCGGAGCACTGTGGACTGGAGTGTGAGTGATGGGGCCTGCAGATGCTTTGGGGCATGGCAAACCAGAGCCCAAGCTTTGCTGAGGAGAGAGGGTGGGAGGGCAGTGTGGGGTAGGCAGGTGGGCAAGGCAACAAGTGTGCACTGAGCATGTCCCTCTCGTGTCTAGGAATCAGCAGCATATGGAGAGCACATCTGGTTTGAGACCAACGTGTCGGGGGACTTCTGCTACGTTGGGGAGCAGTACTGTGTAGCTAAGATGCTGGTGAGTGAGCACTATGTGGCACGCTGCCCCCTGGTGGCGGAGCCAGGCCTAGATGCCAGGTCGATCACCTGGGGGCCTGACTCAGCCTGTCTGGGAATGGGGCCTGCCTGTGACTTGAGTGCCTGTCGTGGGCCGCCCAAGGAAGGCCAGAGAAGCGGGGAGGTGGAGGGCTTTGTCTTATTGCCAGGAGCCAGGATTGGAAGTTCTCTGTATACAAGGGGCTCAGGGGCCCTTGCTGTGTCTCTCCTGCAGCAGAAGTCCGTGTCCAGGAGGAAGTGCGCAGCCTGTAAGATCGTGGTACACACGCCCTGCATTGAACAGTTAGAGAAGGTGAGTGTGGCCCGGCCTGGCCAAGCCGCCTAGGATACCTGCTCACACACGGACCCACGTAACCACATCACCTGCCCACCATACATAACGGTAACGAGTGGTGTTTGAATCCTGCCTCTCCTCTGTATTATTGGTGATCTTGGCAAGGGGCTTTATCTTTCTGCGCCTCAGATGTCTCATCTGTGAAATGGAAGATGTCATAGTACTTGCCGCGTGTGGTTGTTGTGAAGATTAAATCAGATAAAGTGTTTCTACACATGTTTACTGCTGTTGATTTTCTTTTTTTATTGAAATTACCATGCAAGTCATCCATTGAAAATGTATGGTTCACTGGCTTTTAGCATATTTAGAGTTATGTAGTCATCACTTATGCAGTCAATGTTAGAATATTTTTGTTACCTCCAAAAGCAGCTGCTTTCTCCTCAGCCATCACACCTCAATGTCTCCAGTCCCCCCAGCTCTAGACAACTACTAATCTCCTCCTTCTCTCTAGATATATTTGTCCTAGATGTTTCTTGTAAATGGAAAGATACAAAATGTGGGCCTTTGTGTCTGGCTTTTTTCACTTAGCATGTTTTCAAAGTCTGGCCATATTGTAGCATGGAGCATTTCCATTTATTGCCAAATAATATTCCATTGTATGGATACACCACATTTTGTTTATCCATTCATCCATCAGTTGACGAACATTTGGGTTGTCTCTACTATCTAGCTATTATGAATACTGTTGCTGTGAGCAGGATTTTTGTGAACATGTTTCCAGTTTTCGTGGGCATATAAGAAGGAGTGGAACTGCTGGGTCCTAGGGGAAGTCTGGCTTTGGGAAGGACAGCCAGGTAGATTTCCAAAGCATCTGCACCATCGACACATTCACACCAGCCGTGTATGAAGATCCTGATTTCTCCACATCCTTGGCAACATATGTTATTATCTGATTTCTGTTTGAGCTGTGCTACTGAATGTGCAGTGGTATCTCATTGTGCTTCTGTTTGCATTTTCCTGATGGTTAATGATGTTGAGCATCTTTTTTATGAGCATGTTGACTATTTGTAAATCTCTGGAGAGCTGTTAGGTCCTCTGCCCATATTTAAAATTGCATCATTTGTCTTCATTATTGAGTTGGAAGAGTTCTTTATATATCCTGGATCCTAGCCCCTTTGTAGATAGATAATTTGCAAATAAAACATTTCCCGCTTAAAGGTTACCTTTCGTTTTCTTAGGTGTCCTTTGAAGCACAAATGTTGCAAATTTTCATGAAGTCTCATTATTGTTGCTGTCCGTCCAGTGTCCTAGGAAACTGTACCTGCTGCTGTTGTTGATCTTCACCCTGAACTTCAGCTGTAGGAGAAGCAGCAGGGTAGCACCCTCAGAAGGTTTGGCAGCTTTAAGACATTATTGTTGTTGTCAAGTTGCTTCTGGCTCATAGTGACTAAAGGACAGGCTTGAATGCCTCACAGGGCTTCCTAAGCTGTGATCTTCACAGAAGCAGTTTGTTGGGGTTTTTCCCCAACCGGTTGGTTTGAAGTGCCAGTCGTTTGATTAGCCCATCAGGTGCTGAACCATTGTGCCACTAGGCTCCTTAAAGAAGAATTTTAGAAGCTGATTCTTTGTCAGGTGGTTTTCTGTGCACTTAATTGTGTTCATCCGAAACCTTTACCAAGACCAAGAGACTGTTGTGCAAATAGAGGAGGGGGACACTACATGGTTTAAAATGAAGAAAGGATACCTCCCTGGCAGGGGAGATACCATGATTGTGAAAGTGGTTTTCCCAGGGCGAGGCTTATCCTTTGCACTGCAGATGTGCTGATCCCTGCAATTTCTCCAAGTGTGGGAAACTCGACTGCATCAATTAAGAAGGAAGTGCTTCAGGGTTATATTCTCTTTCCAGATCAGTTCAGTCTGTATGCTGAGCAAATTATAAGATAAACTGGACTCTATAAAGAATGTGGCATCAGGATCAGAGGAAGACTCACCAGTACTCTGTGATACAACCTTATTTGCTGAAAGTGAAGAGGACTTGAAGCACTTGTTGCGGAAGATTAGCATTTAATATGGATTGTATCTCAGTGTCAAGAAAACAAAAATTCTTAACACTTGGACATATAGGCAACATCATGATAGAAAGAGAAAACATTGAAGTTGTCAAAAATGTCAATATTTTACTTGGATCTACAATCAGTCAATACCCTTGATACCAGCAGTCAAGCAAACAGGAGCTGTATTGCTCTGGGGAAGTCAGCAGTCGGGGACCTCTCCAGATTATTGAGGAGCAATGATGTCAGTTTGAGGATTAAGGTGTGCCTGATTCAGGCCATGGACTTTATGATCACCTGCTGTGCATCTGAGAGCTACACAATGAATAAGGATGACAGAAGAAGAATTGATGCCCTTTGAGTTATGGTGTTGGCGTGCTGAATATCCCAAGATTGCCAAAGAACAAATAGGTGTTAGAAAAGTGCAGCCAGAGTGCTGATGATAAAACTTCATCTTACGTACTTCAAGCATGTTTCTAGGAGAGGCTGTTCCTTGGAGAGGGACATCATGCTTGGAATAGACAGGATTGGCAAAAGAGAGCAAACCCCTCAAACAGATTGTCACAGTAACTGCTACAGTGGGTTCAAGTGTGTCAGGGAGTGTGAGGATGACACAGGATAGGATGGGGTTCAGATTTGTTGTTCATACCTGACTGGACAGCACCTAACAACAACTAACACACCTTCCCCTATAATGTGAGCTCCTCAGGGCATGGCTTGTTATCTCTGCCACACAGAGTGGGATCCACTCAAAGTGGAGAGGCCGAATTAGTCAACTGTGCCATGACACCAATTTATCAGTGTCTGAATTAGTGCTTAGAAGAGGCCTTGCTGAGGCCCAGGCTGGTCCTTAGCAGCTCCAAAGCCTGTGCTGTGTTCCCTGCACACACCCTTAACAAGACCTTTCCCTAAGAACCCTTACACACAGAGTGTCTGCACCAAGGGACATTCCCAGACATTGTGCTTCTAGAGGAGAGAGAGGGAACGCAAGGCCTTTGGGCCATCTCTGCACTTGAAGCAGGGGACACAAGGGGTGGCTGTGGACCATCAGGCCTCCCCAGCCTGCAGGAACCCAGACTAGCACACAGCATGTCCCTGAGATTAGAAATGGCATGAGCCAGGCTAACCTGGCCTGAGACCCCAGCCCCTGAATTAGAACAAGCTTAACTTCTTGTTAGTTGTCATCAGGGCTCAGTGCCTGCCTGTGCCTGAGCTGGGAGTGCTTGAAGGCTAGGAAGAACATCCCAATAACCAATAATCAAAACCAGAGTCCCATTCTCCCCTCCTTCCAGCAACTGGGTGGAGGAAGGAAAGAGTCCTGGCCAGTGGGAAGGAGGCAGGAACACAGGAACATTCCGCTATGAAGGTGTCTCACATTCCTGGGGCCCAGGATGAACTGGGGTCAATCCCACCACCTTGCGTTAATAGCTGTGGGTGACCCTTTCCCAGAGGGGTGACCATCTGACTGGCCCCGAAAAGCACTGATGTCTTGGTGTCCATTGCACTGTTTCACAGATCAATTTCCGCTGTAAGCCCTCCTTCCGGGAATCGGGCTCCAGGAATGTCCGAGAGGTGAGTGCCCCCTCAGGGTTGGAGTCTGGAGACCTCGCTGCAGTCGTGCCACAGTGCCACCAGGGGGCGCAGCTCCTTCCATCTGCTGGGCTTCTGGGAGATGCAGGGCTGAGAAGTGACCCCCACATCCTCCTAGCTTTCTCTGCTGAGTTTTTCAGCACCCTGGGGAAGTCTCAACTTTCTTTTTTTATTATTTTTTAAAATAACATTTTTTATTTTCATTATGATTTTACCAAAAGTTTATAGAAAAGTTAGATTTTCATTCATTCATTGTTGAACATTTTTACCCTCTCTTCTTCTCTTTTCTATCCCCTAGTTAACTAATTTTGTTTTTTAAAAAATACTGATTCATTGTTGTAAAGTCTCAACTTTCTAACCCTCTCACCTCATACAGTGCCCTAGCCCCCTTTTGACATAGTGAGGGTGGTACTTAGTGAGTCAGGCTGTGGACACTTCGCCGCTGCCCCCAGTGACCCTTATGTCCTCTTCTGCCAGCCCACCTTTGTGCGTCACCACTGGGTCCACCGACGACGCCAGGATGGCAAGTGTCGGCACTGCGGGAAGGTGAGCGGTCTTGGCCCTTTTCTGACCCCCGACCCACCTACCCTGGCCCTGCTGGACCAAACACCGTGTTGTGTGGACAGTGCGGCCTGGGCATGACTATGACCCAGAGCCAGGGGCCAGACTCGCTTCTCCTGGTAGCCAAGTCGATCCTAAAGCTCAGGAGGCCCTGCCCTTGTGCCTGAGCTGAGGGGAGAGCAGGGAGGGCCTTCCCTTCCCGTGCAGTGTGTCTGTCTGAGGCCATGGATTCTCCCCCCACCCCCAGAACACCCTGTCGATGTCTCTGTCCGCTCAGCAGGTCTTAGCTGCTGTGCCCACGCTGAGCCGGGCGATGGTGCTGCCGCCTGAAGACCAGTGTGCTGGCCACAGTCTCCGAGGCTGACCTCCTGGTCAGAACCCCTGTTTGGTTCTAGTTGTCTGTTCCCTCAGGAAATCTAATTTCTGAAAGGTGTTGAGGTCTTGTCTCCCTTCTCCCATTAATACCCAGCACAGTGCCTGGCACACAAGCCCTCAGTAAGGGTTGGTGAAATGAACACGGCAGTGAAGGTGAAAGGTTCTATAAAGAGAAGCATACAAGAGGGCCCAGCCAGATCTGGGGGTCCCGAGGCAGGGTCTCAGTTAGCTCTGTGGATCCTCTTCAGCCGGGTATGCCCACATGTCCACTCCCCACATTTCACAGCTGCAGGTAGGCTGCAGAACCATCTGGGGTCTATTCGATCATCAGCTTGCACCGCTACCCTCCATGGAGGAGGGTAGTGCCAGGGTTCTCAGCCAAGCCCCTGGTAACAACATTCCCATTCCCCCTCAGGGCTTCCAGCAGAAGTTCACCTTCCACAGCAAAGAGATTGTGGCCATCAGCTGTTCCTGGTGCAAGCAAGCAGTGAGTGGACCCCGGCTGCCCCACGGGCTGCACTGGGTCTGGGTGCTGTTGGACCGGGGTCCAGGTGCCAGCACCACTGCCTCAGCTTCACCGTCCCTCCCTCCAGTACCACAGCAAGGTGTCGTGCTTCATGCTGCAGCAGATCGAGGAGCCCTGCTCGCTGGGTGTCCACGCTGCCGTGGTCATCCCGCCCACCTGGATCCTCCGCGCCCGCAGGCCCCAGGTGGGTCCACCCTTGACACTCTGCCGCCACCCACATAGGGTCCCCCAGACATCCCATCCCACCACCTTGTCCCCAACATCTCTGCTCCCTTTGCAGAACACCCTCAAGGTGAGCAAGAAGAAAAAGAGAGCGTCCTTCAAGAGAAAATCGAGCAAGAAAGGGCCTGAGGTTGGTCCTGGGGCTGGCAGGCAAATGGGAGGGGAACCACAGTGGGAGGCCTCCTAGTCCAAACACTGAGCCCTTGGGGGTGGGGCTGTCAGCTCAGCTTATGAGGGTCAGTTTGGGCCTTGGGGCCCCTGAGACAAGCAGCTGTTTAGATCTGCATTGTCCCTATGGCTGGGCTCACTAAGAATCAGGCCCCAGAGGTGTTCTGTGAGGCTGGGCTGAGGGGGACAGCCTCCTCCAGGGGTTCCTGGGAGGGGTTGATCCTGCAGGCAGGAAGGAACCTTACATCTCTCTATCTCCAAGGAGGGCCGTTGGAAACCCTTCATCATCAGGCCCACCCCATCCCCGCTTATGAAGCCCTTGCTGGTGTTTGTGAACCCCAAGAGCGGGGGTAACCAGGTAAGTACACCCTTCTCTCTCACTGAGAGCTGAGGGGGTAGTTCGAGGTCAAGCCCACTACCCAGCAGCTCTGTACAGGCTCCTTGTTGGACGTCTGCCCATGCACTGTTCCCCAGGGATTTTAGAACATTCCCTGCCTTTTGGGGCCCCACCTCAGCCTCATCCTTCTCCTCACTTTCCGCCCTGACTGTCCCCTCCCTGTCTCCCCTTCCCACTGTCCTCCACCCACTCCCCCACAGGGCGCTAAGATCATCCAGTCCTTCCTCTGGTACCTCAACCCCCGGCAAGTCTTCGACCTGAGCCAGGGCGGGCCAAGAGAGGCGTGAGTACAGGCCAGGACATGGGGCAGTGGGAGGCTGGCCCAGCTCAGCCATGGTGCTCACACCCCGACCTCACACCTGTCTCCTCACCCCAGGCTGGAGATGTACCGAAAAGTACACAACCTGCGGATCCTGGCCTGTGGGGGTGACGGCACGGTGGGTGCTCGGGGCCTTGGGGTCTGGGCTGACACCTGGACTTTCTGTGGCCTCATGGCCTCCTGCTCTGCCCTCTCAGGTCGGCTGGATCCTGTCCACACTGGACCAGCTGCGCTTGAAACCACCACCCCCTGTTGCCATCCTGCCTCTGGGTACTGGCAATGACTTGGCCCGGACCCTCAACTGGGGTGGGGTAAGAGCCCACGGGCAGGCAAGCATCTAGGTGCTGGCTGGGCAGTGGGGTGTCTTCAACCGTGGTGACAGCTCAGTCCCTGTGTCCTTCCCCCAGGGCTACACAGATGAGCCCGTGTCCAAGATCCTCTCCCACGTGGAAGAGGGGAACGTGGTGCAGCTGGACCGCTGGGACCTCCAGGCTGAGCCCAACCCTGAGGCAGGGCCTGAGGAGCGGGACGAGGGCGCCACCGATCGGGTAGGTCAGCCAGGTGGGCCTGAGCTAGGGGCCTCCCCACACCTAGATGTCTAGGTTCCCAGGGTTCCCCCTGCCTCTCTAGCTGGTGAGGTCCTGGCAGGGTACTCTTTCACCCCAGGCACTTAGGGAAGGTGATCAAGAGGCTGAGAGTGGAGCAGGAAAGAGCAAAGGTGGAGGGGCGGTGAGCCGGGTCACTGATGATGTGTTTTTATTAACTGGGCTGGGTGGTGCCTCAGGAGGAACAGGGTCTGCCAGGCCCCACGCTCATCTCAGTCTGGGCCCTTTTCCAGCTGCCTCTGGATGTCTTCAACAACTACTTCAGCCTGGGCTTTGATGCCCACGTCACTCTGGAGTTTCACGAATCTCGAGGTTGGCAGCCTGGGGATGCCGAGGGGGGAGGGCACACCAGTGTCCCCTCGAGAGTCAGAACTGGCTCCCACCCCAGTCATTCCCAGCCCTCTGACCTCACCACAACCTCGGAGGAGCAGCTGATTGCACCTCCTCTCTTGTTTCCCCCACAGAGGCCAACCCAGAGAAGTTCAACAGCCGCTTCCGGAACAAGATGTTCTATGCCGGGGTGAGTCTGGGCCCTCTATCACTGCCTCCCTATGCTGCCCAAATTTCTCAGCCACAGGTGGTACGCGAAAGTCCCAGTCACCAGTTAGTGACACCTCTGCCTCCCACAGACAGCCTTCTCCGACTTCCTGATGGGCAGCTCCAAGGACTTGGCCAAGCACATCCGAGTGGTGGTGAGCGTAACAAGGCCTAGGGGGCAGCAAGAAGGGGGCCACCTCCCTGGTGACCTGGCCCTGACCTCCCGTTCTCACTTCCAGTGTGATGGCGTGGACCTGACTCCCAAGATTCAGGACCTGAAACCCCAGTGCATCGTTTTCCTGAACATCCCCAGGTGAGGAAGGCAGGATCAGGGACAGCCTGCCATTTTCATCCCGCCCAGTCTGGCCCCTGAGCCTCTGCTGCCCCCTCCAGGTACTGCGCGGGCACCATGCCCTGGGGCCACCCTGGGGAGCACCATGACTTTGAGCCCCAGCGGCATGATGATGGCTACCTCGAGGTCATTGGCTTCACCATGACATCCCTGGTGAGTGAGCAAGACAGGCCACCTGGAGGCCCAGACTGCCAGCTTCTTGACGGAGAGGATCACCCTGTCTTTATCCTCAGGGCCCTACCCCTACCTGCCCTGTCTGACTTGAGCTCCCTCTACTGTAGGCAGCGCTGCAGGTGGGCGGGCACGGTGAGCGGCTGACGCAGTGCCGGGAAGTGGTGCTCACCACGTTCAAGGCCATCCCAGTGCAGGTAGATGGGGAGCCCTGCAAGCTTGCAGCCTCCCGCATCCGCATTGCTCTGCGCAACCAGGCCACCATGGTGCAGAAGGCCAAGCGGCGGAACGCCACCCCGCTGCACAGCGAGTATGTCCCACCCTCGCTCCCATTTGCTCTGGGTTGGACAGGAGCCAGACACTTAATGCCCTGGCTTTATTTCCCTGGCTATGCAGGGGCTGGCAAAGCCCCCACCCTTGACCCTCACTCAGACTGCTGGGAGTAGAATGGCCTCCCTGTGAAGTCTAGCCTGGTTCCCAGCCCTGCACTGGCACTCTGGGGCAGAGTCTGTCGCTAAGCCACACTCCTGTCCCCACCCCTCAGTCAGCAGCCAGTGCCTGAGCAGCTGCAGATACAGGTGAGCAGAGTCAGCATGCACGACTACGAGGCTCTGCACTATGACAAGGAGCAGCTCAGAGAGGCCTGTGAGTGGAGCTGGGGCAGTCCCTGAGGGCAGGACCCCGGGCAGTGCCAGCTGCTGATGGTCCCGTATCCCCTCCAGCTGTGCCTCTGGGCACTGTGGTGGTCCCGGGAGACAGCGACCTGGAGCTCTGCCGTGCACACATCGAGAAGCTCCAACAGGTGAGAAAGGGGCTGGCAAAGAGGGCCTCCTCCCTCCCCACACGTGTGTCCCTTTGCCCCTGCTCCGCGTCCCTCCCTGTCCCCAGCTCACTCTCAACCCCATACTTGGCTTCTTTCTCACAGGAACCTGATGGTGCTGGAGCCAAGTCCCCTATGTGCCAGAAACTGTCCCCCAAGTGGTGCTTCCTGGATGGTAAGTCCTGCCCTCTCCTAGGTGGGGTCTGAGCTGGAGAATCAGAGGACCTGGGCCTGAACAAGGACCCCCCTCTCTTTCCACAGCAACTACTGCCAGCCGCTTCTACAGGATCGACCGGGCCCAGGTGAGCCACTCTTACACCCAGGGACTGGGTAGGCCCTCTCCCACCTTCCCTGTCAGCCAGGCTGGCCTCTGCCTTCTCACACCCATGGTGCTCACACTTGTCTGAGGTCATTGGAGGTCATGGCACTGCCCTCCACGCTAGAGAGTGCAGGACTGGTGCCAACAGGCAAAGGGGGCCCATTCCCCTAAGCTGAGCCAGGTGGGTGAACAGGCCTTGAAGCATAGGTGACATGTGGGGCCAGGGGCCAGGTCACCCACGTTGAGGTATCATGGTGGGAAGAGGCCCAGCATACGGTCGGGCAGTGCTATGGTGGGAGCAGGATCTGACGAGGCCACCTAGCCTGGCCCACAGCAAAGGCTTTTCCAGGTTTGCCTCCCTTGTTTCACCCCACCGTCATGTTCCTAAGGCCTCCGAGCCTCCACCCTGACCCGACCCTCCCCTGACAGGAACACCTCAACTATGTGACTGAGATCGCCCAGGACGAGATCTACATCCTGGACCCTGAGCTGCTGGGGGCATCGGCTCGGCCTGACCTCCCCACTCCTACCTCCCCTCTCCCCACCTCCCCCTGCTCACCCACGCCCCGGTGAGTCCCAGCCCCTACTTCTTCCCGATGCCCTGGTCACTCCTGAACCCAGCCCAGCCCCTTCCCTGAGCCCATGCGGACTTCTGGCTAGCTTTCTACTGGCCAACAGGCAGCAACAAAGCGAACCAGGCCCAGCTTGCCTGCCTGCCCCCCTCAGAATTCCAGGCTTGCCCATCTGTCCACTCAGAGACCAGGGCTCCTTCTCTCTCTTCTGTCTTCTCTCAAGTCCTATCAGCTCCCTCAGCATCCAAACACCCCTCCACAGCTGCCACCGCTGGCGGTTGTACCTGTGTCCCGTGCCACCTACAGCCATTCTTCACCCAGCGGCCTCGAAAAGTGCAGACCAGCCTGGGCCACCCTCAGCAGGCCTCAGGCCACTGGTGCTGAGCCCGAGTCTGGCTGACTCTGACCTCCGACCTCCCCAGGGCCTCTCCCCTGGTCAGCACAGGCTGGCCCCATGCACCTCTTTGTTCTCTGAGGCCTCGAGTTGGCCCCCTTCTGGACTTCTGCTGAACCCTCTGCCTAAGAGCCAACAGCTTCCTTCACAGATCTGTCCCCATTCAAGTCTCGGCTGGGCCCCCTTCCTCAGAGGGGTCTTCTTGGGGCCCCATCTGAAGTTCACCCTCTCCCAGTCTTCTGATGGCACGACCCTGTTTTGTGTTCTCAGCACTTCTGTATCTCAGAGTATGTCTTCATTTCTCCTTGTGTTTCCTGCACTAGAATGTAAGCTCTCTGAGAGCAAGTCCCCTCTCTGTCTCATTCACTGCTGTACCCTGGTCTCTAGACCAGGACTTGGTATGTCATAGGCACTCAATAAAGTGTTCAAAGAGCGAAGGGTACCTGGCGGGGCTGGGTAGGGGGCCATCGGCCTTACTGGTGTGTCCCATCTCATCCTGCTTTGTCTGCAGGTCACTGCAAGGGGATGCTGCACCCCCTAAAGGTGAGGCCTGTCCCTTAGGCGCCCTCTCTGCCTGGCAGGAATGAGTCTCCCCGGGGTGGGAGGGGGCACCCATACACAGCCTTAGCCTCACAGGGAGGGTTCGCATTCAAGCGTCTACTCCTGCGTCTCCCCGGGGTGGGAGGGGGCACCCATACACAGCCTTAGCCTCACAGGGAGGGTTCGCATTCAAGCGTCTACTCCTGCGCAGTGTGGCTTGTCCACGCGTGCCCACACAGGCCACACAGAGGGTAATGGGCAGGTGTTCTGTGCAGGTGAAGAGCTGGTTGAGGCCGCCAGGAGGAACGACTTCTGTAAGGTACCAGCCCTGGGGCTGCCTGAAGCCTGGAGAGTGGGGCTCGGGGTTGGGCCCAGATGGACCTGTTCTGGTACTGGTGTGTATGGTCATCTGTGGGGTCTCTGCAGGGACTGTGCAGTCTCCCTTGCATATGTCCCTATCCAGGCTGTAATAGGTGGCTCCTGACTTGGGGTCCAGAAGGGTCTTTTTCTTCATCCTGCCCTGTGCATATAAAGTAGCAATCTTTGAGGAGCCACAGGCCCCAGGGAACAGTGATCAGTGGATACACAAGCAAGGTGTCCTACCCCTGGCTCTCCACAAAGGCCCCCACATAGGTCCCCAGAGAAGGATATATGTGGGCAACAGGCCCTGTGCCAGTGACCGGTGGCTGGAAGGAGGGGAGTCCAGTGGTGCCCCAGCCCACCCTGCCTTCCACTCGTAGCTACAGGAGCTGCATCGAGCAGGAGGTGACCTCACACACCGGGATGAGCAGAGCCGCACGCTCCTGCATCATGCGGTCAGCACCGGCAGCAAGGATGTGGTCCGCTACCTGCTAGACCATGGTGAGCTGAGGGGCAGGGCAGGGTGGATGGAGAGGGGGCCACCAGGCCCCTTTGACCCCCCCCCCTCTCCTTCAGCCCCTGCAGAGCTCCTTGATGCTGTGGAGGAGAAGTAAGTATGAAAGGCAGAATCCTGGGTTACCCTGGAAACCACTCTGCCTCCAGTCCCTTAAGCCATCCTCTGGGCCACCCCCTTGCCCCAGCACCCTGAGCTTTGAGCCTTTTCTGATGGCCCTGGGAGGGGAGGCAGACGGGAGGCTCCCAGAGACTGGCTGAGGTCCGCAGCCTACCCCTGCTCCCCCAGCGGGGAGACATGTCTACACCAGGCCGCAGCCCTGGGCCATCGCACCATCTGTCACTACATCGTGGAGGCTGGGGCCTCACTCATGAAGACAGACCAGCAGGTGAGCAGGGAGCCCGGCAAGGCCATCCCCACCCTCCCAGACTAGGCCTGTGGGGCGTGGGTGGCCTGTGGAGATTGAAAGCTGGTCCTGGGGAAACAATGCCAGCAGGTCCCCCCTCGGGCAGGCAGGAGGGAGCCCCTGCCCTCTCTGAGCCCCCTCTGTCACAGGGCGACACTCCCCGGCAGCGGGCTGAGAAGGCGCAGGACACAGAGCTGGCCGCCTACCTGGAGAACAGGCAGCACTACCAGATGGTCCAGCGGGAAGACCAGGAGACAGCCGTGTAGCCGTGAGGCTGAGGCGGCAGCCGAGGGACAGTGTCTGCAGCGGGACGTGCACCCTCCCTGTCCACCTCACTGCCACATTCCACTTGGACACCACCACGGGGGGACCCAGGCCCCAGGGAAGGAGCCCCGTGCTGGCCGCCCAGACCGAGGGTGAACTCTGAGGAGCTGGGGGGCTTGGCGTCTGCCGGGAACCTCATATGGGAACAGGAGACGCCAGGATGGCCTCACTCAGCAGGCGGTGCCCTGTGGGAGTTAGGGCGAAGGAGGGCAGGGGGCTATGACCCTTGTCATGGACGAGCCAGGGACGTTTTCTGAGCCACCTGGTCCTGTGGGGCCCCCTCACTCCCTGACCCATCTTGCCAGGCCCCCTCCCGGAAACAGCCTGCCGCATCTGCCTGCCCGCCCTGCTTGGCACCTCCTCGTGACCCTTACCCAGTCGTTTCTTTGGGACTGTGTAGCCTGGGGTGGGGGTGGGGCTCCGGCCGTGACATGTTTACAGCTGGGTGTGACTCAGTAAAGTGGATTTTTTTTTTCCTTTTGACTCTCCTTTTTTTGGGGTGCAGGGAGGTCGGAGGGACACATAGGTGCAGTGGGTTAGTCTCGGGGTGAGGAGTGGACCCTGTCGACGTGGACACGGTCCCAATTCGGGAGACTTCATAATGTTGGGGTAGGGTCGGGGCCTGCCCAGGAGCTGACCTCTGCCCAGCAGCGGGGGAGGGGCGGCTTCCTCCGCTTCCCGCTTCCCGCTGGGCCGAACAATGAAAGTGAAAGAGAGGGGGGCGGGAGGCCCCCTCCCCGTTACTGCCTCGGGTCAGGAATCCCGTGCAGTGAGGCCTGGGGCGGGAGGGGGTGGCTGGGTCTGGGACTCCTCAGACGGCCTGTCAGCTTCGGGTTTTCCAAAACCCAGGCCTGAGGCTCCTCCTCCTAGGGGCCACCCCTGCTCCCCTCTGCTCCGCGGGGAGCCGCTTGCGCCCCCATCCCGGTCTTTTCTCGAGTTTCTATCTCTGGGGCCCCCCCAATACTAAACAGACACTTGCACTCCTGCCCTGTGGACAAGCGGGGTAACCCGGGCAGCGAGGGTCGTGTGATGCCGGCCGTGCACCCACCCGGACACAGGGCGCCAGGGCCAGGGCCACCAGGGCGGTGGACACGGGCTCGGACACAGGGCGCCGGCGACACCAGAGTTCGGACACTGGGTGTCAGGGACGTGGACACAAGGGTTCGGACACTAGGGCTCGGAAACAGGTCACCAGGGCCAGGGACACAGGGGCTTGGCCCCCTCCCGGCTGCCATCAGAGGAGGAAAGTGTGGGCCAGGCCTTTGGAGTCCCGCGGGGAAAGGGGACGAAGATGGGGGCCGCGAGCAGGGGGTACCCAGGGGAGGACACTCGCGGGGTAAGGCGAGGGTGCAGGGCAGCCGGGACAGGGGCGCTGGGCGGGCACAGAGGCGGGGACGCGAGAGTAGG